GAAAATCGACTTGAGAATGGTCCAGGACGGACCGAAACGTCGTCGTCCCTTCACTTACTAGTGTGTGGGTTGGTCAACAAAGCTAGAAAACTGAGCATATGCACCAAGGCTCATCCGTACGAGAAAAGACTGACGAAGCTGGATCTGGCCACACTTTAAGAAAAGCAGGGACATGATAACGACATACAAGACTCTAAAAGTACTTTACAAAGTACGCGGGGCCCATGAGCTGAACTCGTTCCTGCAAGCTCATCTACGGGAGTCCACCGAGGCTAGTACACATGAACACAAACAGTTAGCCATTAATTCTAGCCATGAATTTCAGAGGGCAAGGTTAGTCGGGATCACGTGTGGCATCACATGCCCTGCCTGCCTCTCCTACCTTTGTCCAGGGGAGCCGGTCGGCCGAGCGGACAGCACGCTGGACTTGTGATCCTGTGGTCCTGGGTTCGATCCCAGGCGACGGCGAGAAACAATGGGCAGAGTGTCTTTCACCCTATGCCCCTGTTACTTAGCAGTAAAATAGGTACCTGGGTGTTAGTCAGCTGTCACGGGCTGCTTCCTGGGGGTGGAGGCCTGGTCGAGGACCGGGCCGCGGGGACACTAAAAAGCCCCGAAATCATCTCAAGATAACCTCAAGATAGGGCATCCAGGGCATCCTGGATGCTGCGGCTAGTCCGGCATCACCATGACACATGTATCCTCCGCGGCTGCGGCTCCTGCAGGGTGTAATCTTGCCGCTCTGGTGTTCGGGAAGGTTATCTTGAGACATTGAAACTCCTCGAGACGTCGGACCATATTCAGGGCAACAGCTGCTGGTACTTATGTCAAAGGATGTACTTTGTTGATGTTGGTACCCGGCGCTTGATAGCTGAGTGGACAGCGCTACGGATTCGTAGTCCTGAGGTTCCGGGTTCGATCCCCGGTGGAGGCGGAGACAAATGGGCAAAACGTTTCTTTCACCCCTGATGCCTCTGTTACCTAGCAGTAAATAGGTACCTGGGAGTTAGACAGCTGCTATGGGCTGCTTCCTGGAGGGTGTGTAACTAAATGGAGGCTGGTCGAGGACCGGGCCGCGGGGACGCTATGCCACGAAATCATCTCAAGATAACCTCAAGGGGATGCTGACTCGGGTACCAACAATTAAAGATAAAAACGACCGAAACGTCATTCATATAAATGTCTAACCTTCGCTTGAAACAATCCAGCAACCCCCACGACTATTATGCTACCTGGTAATTGGTTCCATAGATCATAAACCCTTATTACCAAAATCATATATACCGAAGTCTCTCCTAAATCTGAACTTAAACCCATTTATTCCCATTTTCTTTCGTTCTTTTATGGGTTTATCATCTTAAAATATTATTTATATTCGCCATTGTCGTGCCTTGTGATCCATGTATAGTTAATCGTGTCTTCCTTACTTTTCGTTCATGTAGAGAATGTAAATTAATTTTGCTATTTGAATACTGTGTGTAAATGGACAGCTGTAAATTAGTTTTCGAGACTAAATACTAAATTCTAACCCCCGATAGTTCCGGAATGCCAAACTTAAGTTTGAGTCCTCATCAAAATAGAGAGAGAGAGAGAGAGAGAGAGAGGGAGGGAGGGGAGG